TTGAAATAAAACAAACAATATGCGCTTTAACTGCAGACTGTCAGCTTTAATTTGAGGGTATCTACATCCAAATCAGGTGAACGGTGTAGGAATTACAACAGTTTGCATATGTGCCTCCCACTTGTTAAGGGACCAAAAGTAATGGGACAATTGGCTTCTCAGCTGTTCCATGGCCAGGTGTGTTTTTCCCTCATTATCCCAATTACAATGAGCAGATAAAAGGTCCAGAGTTCATTTCAAGTGTGCTATTTGCATTTGGAATCTGTTGCTGTCAACTCTCAAGATGAGATCCAAAGAGCTGTCACTATCAGTGAAGCAAGCCATCATTAGGCTGAAAGAAAAAAACAAACCCAGAGAGATAGCAAAAACATTAGGCGTGGCCAAAACAACTGTTTGGAATATTCTTAAAAAGAAGGAACGCACCGGTGAGCTCAGCAACACCAAAAGACCCGGAAGACCACGGAAAACAACTGTGGTGGATGACCGAAGAATCCTTTCCCTGGTGCAGAAAACACCCTTCACAACAGTTGGCCAGATCAAGAACACTCTCCAGGAGGTAGGTGTATGTGTGTCAAAGTCAACAATCAAGAGAATACTTCACCAGAGTGAATACAGAGGGTTCACCACAAGATGGAAACCATTGGTGAGCCTCAAAAACAGGAAGGCCAGATTAGAGTTTGCCAAACGACATGTAAAAAAGCCTTCACAGTTCTGGAACAACATCCTATGGACAGATGAGACCGAGATCAACTTGTACCAGAGTGATGGGAAGAGAAGAGTATGGAGAAGGAAAGGAACTGCTCATGATCCTAAGCATACCACCTCATCAGTGAAGCATGGTGGTGGTAGTGTCATGGCGTGGGCATGTATGGCTGCCAATGGAACTGGTTCTCTTGTATTTATTGATGATGTGACTACTGACAAAAGCAGCAGGATGAATTCTGAAGTGTTTCGGGAATATTATCTGCTCATATTCAGCCAAATGCTTCACAACTCATTGGACGCCGCTTCACAGTGCAGATGGACAATGACCCAAAGCAGACTGCAAAAGCAACCAAAGAGTTTTTTAAGGGAAAGAAGTGGAATGTTCTGCAATGGCCAAGTCAATAACCTGACCTGAATCCGATTGAGCATGCATTTCACTTGCTGAAGACAAAACTGAAGGGAAAATGCCCCAAGAACAAGCAGGAACTGAAGACAGTTGCAGTAGAGGCCTGGCAGAGCATCACCAGGTATGAAACCCAGCGTCTGGTGATGTCTATGCGTTCCACACTTCAGGCTGTAATTGACTGCAAAGGATTTGCAACCAAGTATTAAAAAGTGAAAGTTTGATTTATGATTATTATTCTGTCCCATTACTTTTGGTCCCTTAACAAGTGGGAGGCACATATGCAAACTGTTGTCATTCCTACACCGTTCACCTGACTTGGATGTAAATACCCTCAAATTAAAGCTGACAGTCTGCAGTTAAAGCACATCTTGTTTGTTTCAATTCCATTGTGGTGGTGTATAGAGCCAAAAATGTTAGAATTGTGTCCATGTCCCAATATTTATGGACCTGACTGTAAGAAAGCAGAAATGGAGGCTCAGACCACAGAAATGGAGGCTCAGGCCGCACATAAGAAAGCAGAAATAGAGGCTCAGGCTGCAGAAATGGAGGCTGAGGCCGCATATAAGAAAGCAGAGAAAGAAGCTGAAGCCACACGCCAAAAGGCAGAAATTGAAGTTTTGGAAAAACAATGTTAGCATGCCACAGCCATGACAAGGTTAAGGGTCTTAGAACAGGCTGCTAGTGAAAACGAAAGCTACAGTTCTTGAAAAAAACAGATCAAAACAAGAAAACTGAGGACCCAAATTGGCAATGTCCAATACATAACAAACCACATCCACTTAAGAAATGTATCGGCTTCAGAAAGAAAACCCTCCAAGAACGTAAGGAACTTTTGAGGAAATTTGGGGTTTGCTACAAATGCTGTGCCTCCATAGAACACTTTGGAAAGGACTGTAAAGCAATCATCAAATGTATAGAGTGTGACAGTGATGACCATGTGCAAGCTCTTCATCAATATTTGCGCTACTCTACTACGCTCACAATCTTCCTGAGGCAAAGCAAGGCGGGGAGCGCCCAGATCAAGCAGCACCTACAACCCCAGTGTTCTCTACATGTACAGAGGTCTGTGGAGAAGGATTCTGCAACAAATCCTTTGCAAAGATATGCTTGGTCCGTGTATACCCCAAAGGTCAACCTGAAAAGGCCATAAGACTGTAAACTATTCTGGATGATCAGAGTAACAGATCTCTTGCAAGTTCTTTGAACTGTTGAACATAACTGGAGATGCTCTGCCTTATACCCTAAGCACTTGTGCCGACACTACAGAAGTCTTAGTTAGGAGAGCCAGTGGTCTTGTAGTTGCTCCTCTGAATGACAATGTGGAAATATCTTTGCCCACTATCACTGAGTGCAACCAGACTCCAAACACCAAAGAGGAGATCCCTACTCCTGAAGCTGCCTTTCACCATTCTCACTTAAAGCACATAGCCAACCAAATACCAGCCCTCAATGAAAGTGCCGATATCCTGCTGTTACTTGGTCCAGACATTCTAAGGGTGCAGAAAGTTCGTCATCAAATCAACGGTCCACAAAATGCACCATATGCTCAGCGTCTGGATAGGATGGGTCATCATAGGAAATGTCTGCCTAGACAAGGACAGGAGGTCCTACTCAATCTTTCCTTTAAAACACATGTCCTGTTGAATGGATGAACAACTTGTTCTGCACAACGACCACATAAATATTTTGTGAAATAAAGACTGTTTGAAAAAAGTGCACAACAACACATCATACAAGACAATAAAAAAGCTCTTAATCTCTGGGATGACAACATCGTCAACACAGTGTTCAAGGTAAACACTAAAGACAATGAGTTGGTAGCTACCATAGAAGAAAAGAATTCTTGAAAATCATGAGTAAAGAGTTCTACCAAGATGATTCCAACAGTTGTGTAGCACCTCTACCATTTCGTACCCCAAGAGACTACCAAACAACAGGGTACACGCAGAATCATGGTTTGTTTCTTTAAAACAGAAGCCTGAGATGAAAAAGTACTTTGTGGACTTTATACAGAAGGTGTTTGAGAGAGATCATGCTGAGCCTGCACCTCCTCTTATGGAAGGAGAAGAATGTTGGTACCTACCATGCTTTGGTGTCTACCATCCTCGCAAGCCTGATTAGATTAAGGTGGTCTTTGACTCAAGTGCTCGTCATGAAGGTGTCTCCCTCAATGACAATCTTTTCACTGGGCCTAATCTGAAGGACAATCTCATAGGAGCTTTACTTTGCTTCAGACAAGAGCCAATTGCTGTTATGGCTGACATTCAGCAAATGTTCCACTGTTTCATCGTTCGTGGAGACTACAGAAACTTCCTCAGGTTCCGATGATGTCAATGATGAAGTCATAGACTACCGAATGAAGGTACATGTTTTCGGTAACAGTCCTTCTCCTGCAGTAGCAATTTATGGACTGAGGAAAACAGCTCAAGAGGGTGAGAAAGAATTTGGATCTGATGCAAGACAGTTCATCGTAAGGAATTTATATGTAGACGACGGACTCAAATCTCTGCCCAATGAAGAGGAAGCTATTGACCTTCTTACTAAAACCCAGAACATGCTTGCCACTGCGAACCTCAGACATGCTTTCCACTGCAAACCTCAGACTCAAGGTCACGATAGCCTTTCCTTCTGATGACCATGCTGTCAGTGTGAAGAAATTCCAACTAGGATCTGACCCTTCTCTTACACAACGCAGTCTTGGATTGCTTTGGAATGTTGCACAAGGCACATTCACATTTCAAGCATCAGCCTGTGATAAGCTCTTCACAAAGCAAGGAGTATTGTCTACGGTGTACAGCATTTACGATCCCTTAGGTTTCATTACACCTCTCACCATTCAGGGTTAGATACTTCTGAGACAACTTACTTCTGAAAGCTCAGACTGGGACACCCCCTTACCCAAGGAGAAACAACAATGGTGGGAATCCTGGAAACAGTTTTTAAAAGCATTAGAACAACTCCAGATACCATGTTCTTACACCCAAGCATCCTTAATGAATGCCACCAGAAGAGAGATTCATGTCTTTTCTGATGCATCCAACGAAGCCATTGCTGCGGTGGCATATCTTCGAGCTACGGATCCCAGCGGTAAAGTGGGTGTAGGATTTATCATGGGCAAGACCAAGCTCACACCCATTTATCATGAGCAAGACCTGCACATACTATTCCATGCTCAAACTTTCTGCAGCTGTGGAAATCGCTGAGCTTATAGAACTTGAAACAGATGTTGAAATAGACTCCTTTGACTTTTATACAGACAGCAAAATAGTACTAGGATATATACACAAACGCACAAGACAGTTCTATGCACACCTTTACTTCAGGTCTACAAAGGAACTAGTACTTCTTTTGCCCAAAGAGGAAGACAAGTCATCAACTTGATTTAACCTCCCTGGCGGTATGATTATTTCAGATTTTTGGTGCTGAAATCGGTACCATTTTTTTGCATGGAAATATGTTTTTTTTTTATTGTAGGGCTGTAATTTTTAGGAATAACTCACTGAAATCTGTACGAACAAGAGTCTAGTAAACATCCCGGGTATGATAAAATTTGAAACACTAAATCATAAATTATAATTTAATAAATAATCATAAAAATAATAATATAATAATAATAAATTTAATTTAATAATATAATCAAACCAAAAACACTGAAATTTGAAATATAGCGCCAAGTTCGCACATCACTGAGCAAAGTCGCAAAATCGTTTTCACTGTTTGTTGACGAATTTCCCCACAAATCATTATCACTCAATTCTGCAAGTGGTTCTGATTTACTATCGCTGTTCTCTAGCTGGTCTAAAACCGCTTTTGACCTAAAGTGACGCTTTTTGGACACCATGGACAGTAAAAATGCAGGCAGGACACAGGACAAAGCACTCGGGACAAAATGTATGTGAAATGGTTTGATACAGTAATGGAATACTATGTGATTTTAGTGAATGTCACTTTTTGTCATTTTTGAATTTCCCGCCGTTCCGTCCCCCGTACGTCCCGACGCTCACAGGGGACGGAACCCAGATGACAGATGCCGGCATCCGCCGGATTACATTGTCAGGGACACTGCAGGAGGGACATCGTGGGAGCGCAGGACAAGGTAAGTGATACAGGGATCGTGGAGCAGCGCCGCATGGTATTCCCGAGTGTAGCTCGGGGTTACCGCTTGTGGTACTGAAACCTTACCCCGAGCTACACTCGGGAATACCGCCAGGGAGGTTAAAGTGAGGTAAGAAGGAATAGTGCATGTTGCTGCCTTCCCCTCTGAATATGGATTTCCATTTCTCAGCCAGGACTTTCGAGACCAACATCTGCAAGTATTATGCTAAATGTTTGCATTGTTTTCCTTTGTTCTTCTTTTCCTTCTTGTTTTGCAAATGTTCCTGGAAAGAATCTTCATTTCTTATATTGAACTAAAGTTTATTATAATAGAAATCATAGATTTGGACAGGGAGCGTCATGTTTTACTTGACTGTCATATGCCTTTAAGTGTTCATTGTATTTTGTCTCTGTTGTTCCTTTCCTCTGGTTTAGTTCTGCTGTATAGATAGTCCACTCCCATTCCCAGAAATGTCTTATGGAAGCAGATCACATTATGATCTTTTCACCTATCCGATGTTCATTGTTGTAAGATTCTCTCAGTTTATGGAATAAACTTCACAAGAGCTACAAGGTGTCATCCGATCGAGTCACTGCCTGTGTTATTCAACTAAGATTGGAGTTATCGCTATCTCATCACAACTTTAAGTTACAGAGATCACACTTGCAATGCTTAGATTGGAGAGACAGAACATATATACTGTGTATGTATATATATATATATATATATATATATATATATATATATATATATATATGCACTGTATCTCACAGGAGTGAGTACACCCATCACATTTTTTGTAAATATTTTATTGTACCTTTTTATGTGACAACACTGAAGAAATGACACTTTGCTACAATGTAAATTAGTGAGTGTACAGCTTGTATAACAGTGTAAATTTGCTGTCCCCTCAAAATAGCTCAACATACAGCCATTAATGTCGAAACCGCTGGCAACAAAAGTGAGTACACCACTTAGTGAAAATTGGTGTTGTCACATGAAAAGATACAATAAAATATTTACAAAAATGTGAGGGGCGTACTCACTTCTGTGATATAATATATATATAATATATATATATATATACCGTATATACTTGAGTATAAGCCGACCCGAATATAAGCCGAGGTACCTAATTTTACCACAAAAAACTGGGAAAAACTATTGACTCGAGTATAAGCCGAGAGTGGGAAATGAGGCACCTACTAGTCAATGTAAAAAATAAAGTGGGAGGAATAGTGCCCCATCATTAGTATCAGTGGGAGAAATAGTGCCCCATCATTGGTGTCAGTGGGAGGAATAGTGCCCCATCATTGGTATCAGTGGGAGGAATAGTACCCCATCATTGGTGTCAGTGGGAGGAATAGTGCCCCATCATTGGTGTCAGTGGGAGGAATAGTGCCCCATCATTGGTGTCAGTGGGAGGAATAGTGCCCCATCATTGGTGTCAGTGGGAGGAATAGTGCCCCATCATTGGTGTCAGTGGGAGGAATAGTGCCCCATCATTGGTATCACTGGGAGGAATAGTGCCCCATCGTTGGTGTCAGTGGGAGGAATAATGCCCCATCATTAGTATCAGTGGGAGGAATAGTGCCCCATCATTGGTGTAAGTGGGAGGAATAGTGCCCCATCGTTGGTGTCAGTGGGAGGAATAATGCCCCATCATTAGTATCAGTGACACCAATGATGCGGCACTATTCCTCCCACTGACACCAATGACACTTGCTGACCCCTGTTGCAGTATGGTGCTGCTACAGCCAGCATATGTGGTTGCAGCAGCACCTCTGCACTGCACACTTACCGGCTTTTCCCTCACTCGATTTTCGCGGGTCCGCTCGGCTCCGCCTCCTCGCCTGTGATTGGCCGCCTGTGTACCTTTCCTGAGCTACAGTTCTGGCGGCCAATCACCGGTGAGGAGGTGGAGCCGAGCGGCAGGAGTGAGGGAGTGGCCGGAGTGACGGAAGGAGCAGCGCTTCCTGGATGGATCATCGTGGGAGCCAGGTAAGAGACAGCAGCCCTCTGCCCACCCCTGTGCGCACCCCCCTTGATGGAGCCTCGCACCCCCCCTGGGGGGCGCGCCCCACTATTTGAGAGGCACTGGCTTTAGAAGCAGCGCCCCCTGCTAGACATCTGCAGACGTTGACTCGAGTATAAGCCGAGGGGGCCGTTTTTCAGCACAAAAAATGTGCTGAAAAACTCGGCTTATACTCGAGTATATACGGTATATATATACATGACCATTGTGCAACTGATCTGCCTTTCTCTGGCAGTCTGGAGGTTAATCTCTGAACATCAGTATACTGTATGTAGAAACTGACCTTGTCTCGGTATGGTCAAGTGTGTAATTGGGCTATTCTGTCCAAACTTTTTGCTTGTGGATTGATACTGTCAGTTAGTCAGTCATTAACTGATTTAAAAGTACAGTAATACTACAGACTTTCACCATCCCACCCCTCTGAATAGCATCCCATATTAATTAAGTGCACATCTGATTACTTTATTTTCCTGAGACTCTCTTTAGGTGTGCCAGTGTTTAAGAACCATTGGGGCTGATTTACTAAATGCAAACAGGCTGTTCACTTAATTTTCCCTTCGTTTAATGAATGTTGTGAAAATTCAGTTTGCAAAGCATACGCTATCACATGCAAGAAAATAAATAAATAAAAACAGTATTGTTGCTTGTACATGATTATACAATGATAAAGCTTTAACTCATTCACTAAGCCAGCCTTTCTCAACCAGGGTACCCAGGCACCCTGGGGTGCCTTGAGGTTTGTTCAGGGGTGCCTTGGCAAAATGTCTAAAAATTGACAAAAACTTGTATACCAGCCAGCAGGTGGAACAAGCTTGCCTTTTAGTTACACAAAGCCACAGGTTGTCATTGTGCACCACTACAACCTTCTAGCCGCCAGTGTCCTGAAAACCAATTACATCATCAGCTGATAAGGAGGATATTGGTTGCCTGCACAGCATCCTAGTTTGACCCTCCCCTGCCCCTCTCCATCAGTGCTGGGGTCACATTAGCTCAGTAATGGAGAAAAACTGAGGGAGAAGAGAAACAATGGATTACTACTCCATACGAGTGTGCAAAAGTGTATTTGCTTTGGAAGAATAAATCACCTCTAATGTTGGGTGTCCTACATGTGTGGATGTTGCTGCATTATATACAACTATTAGAATAATTTTTCACATTTTAGAATGGGGTGCCTCAAGACTGTCCATAATTTTAAAGGGTGCCTCGGGACTGTCCATAATTTTAAAGGGTGCCTTGACTGAAAAAAGGTTGAGAAACACTGCACTAAGCTAAGGGAAAATTCAGTTTCAAAGTGAGAATTCCCTTACGGAGTGAACAGCTTACCTATTCTTCTCCTCAATTCTTTCTTCCTTTAATTGGTCGCTATAACACAATGGAGAGGTGTATCAAGATTTCCTGTTGTAGAGTAATGTGAATATGAAGTAATGATACAGTATATTTATCTCTAGACTGGAATTGCATTGCAACCTCATTTCATGTACACACTTTATTGGACTGAAATTGTGCTAGTTGTTATGTTTGTTCACAAACCTTGATTACAAACTTATTGAAATAGAACAGCCTATTTGCCTTTAGTAAATTAACCACATTGACTCAAACATCATTATAACAAACCCTTGATACACTTCATCTGATGCAATCTCCTGAAATTGATGATATGATATGCACACTTCCAAGCTCCCTAACCCTTCATGTTGTAAACAAACTTCCCAAATTCAGTTCTACAAGTAACCTTCCCTGTTCTATCAATCAAGCCTCCCCTATGTTACTTATTCCCTGCCACTAAAAGATATGAAATATTACCACAATTACATGTAATCCTAAGCCCCTGGGTGCCTGTGATCCCTCAATGTAGTCTTCATACCGTATGGTAGCCAACAAACTAGGCTTTCTTGATCCTCCACATTAGCTTTTCTACCTTGCACCTCATTCACTCTCACTTGTCTCTCCCTCACTCTCTCCTCTTCTCCTTTACCCAAAGATGGTAACTCTAGGGAAACAGGTATGTTGAACTCACCTACTTCACTTTCAGAAGTTTATAAGGACTGCATCATCTTAATAAGACAGTACAGCTCACCTAAATTTCCACAATATCTCCTATAATGTTCAAGGTTTAAACTCCCCAAGTAAAAGAAACACAGCCTCCTACTATGCTGGCATAAGCATAATATTTTTACAGGAGATCAGACTACCTTGCATGTCATGCCCTGCACACGGCTCACATCACCTCTCCCACATATATACAACATGCAAGGGCAAAAACATGAGTTCTTAGTGCCTCCAGGAGGAAACAATTAGTTATTCTGAGCAAAAAGGTCAAAAGACCCATCTGTGAGATGCATACTCTTTGAGGTACATTAAATGACCTTAAACACATCTTGTATTGTATTATGCTCAGAAATTTAATCAAATCAATTTTTGCTCCCATCTCTATAGTAGGTAGACCTTGGTAAAACCTTGTTTTGAACCAATAGGAGGATAAGAAACATACCAAAAGTGTTTACTTGAAACCACTAATCTCAAGCCAACCGCAGCCAAGACTCATTTTGAGTCCTTTTCAATATTCCCAACTGCTCACCTACCTCTATATTGTCCATTCTTTGGTTTCCCCAGAATATACACTGTGACGAACCGTCCCTTTGTGATAACATTTTGCCCTTTCTGTTCCAGTTTTCTCCCCTTTGTAAAGCTGTATATGTTTCACAGACATTCTACACTGTTTGTTTAGGGTAATGTGACCTTGTAGTCTTTCACTTCTAATAGAGTTCATACTGTATTGTTGGTTGTAGGGTTTTGTTGTGGGTGGGGAAAACCCGGTGCCAGACTGTCTGGTGGGGGTGGGGGTGAAGCTGTATATACTGAGCTGTGTTTAATAAAGGGTCATTCATTTTCACCCTACACGAAGTTCCGACTAGTGGTTTGGGAGAGCAGGGAAGGGAGTGTTTTGAGCTCTAATACCTGCCTT